TTTTATATAATTAATAGAAATCAAGTGCATTAGCCAACTATTAGGTTTTCTACTTAAGTTAAAGGTCTTTTAAGCTATAATATAATAAGCTAAGCATATTAAGTGACTTATAAACCACGGTTTACGAGTAAACTCTTTTAATTATTATTAACTAGCTTTAGTCTAATCACATTTACTAATCACATTTATTAATTATATTTATTAATTATATCTACTAATCACATTTATTAATTACATTTATTAAACATATTTACTAATTATATTTACTGATCATATTTACTAATCACATTTACTAATTACATTTATTAATCGTCAGTTTCTTAAAGTTTTATATTAAAAGAATTGACCGACTTGCTGTATTTAAAATCGATATAAATATATTAATAAATTATCTTAATATTTACATTTATTAATTATATTTATAATTAATTATATATATATTTTATTTAATATAATAACGATTTTAAAACTATTTATATAAACTTATTTATTAATTTATAATAATGAAATTCAAAAGGCTTTCGCAAGCTATCGAATTTATTACTTTTTTTTCTTGCGATACTTTTCTTTTATATATAAAAAGTTTTTTGCTCGCTAATAATATTAATTCTATAATATCCGTCGTTGTATTCGTTTTTATTAATCTATTTAACAAATAGCTTAATTTTATAGCCGTTATTTAAATATCGCTTAACTCGATATTCGTTTATTTTAATTAATTAGCTACGATTAGGCCTTTCTTCGTTTGACATTTTTATTGTATACCGAGCGTTTCGACCGTTCGTTCGTCTAATAAAAAGTGAATAATAAGTTTTATTATTTATTTCGATAAAGATCGAATTTAATTGGTTTGCAATCCTTAATAAATTAATAACTTGATTAATATATAGATAATAAAACGGCACTTATAAATAAATCGGCAAGCTTCCGTTAAAATATAAATTTCTTTTATCTATTCTTCAATTATAATAGATATTCGAGCTTATAAATATAATTATAAGCTAATACAAAAGTAAAGTGTTTTATCGTTTTATATAATAAATTTTTAAATAAATGCTTTTATTTTTAATATTTATTAGATTATATTAATTTTATTTACCGTATAGCAGCAGCCGAAAAGAAAGCTGCAAAGATTATATTTAAATTAAGATTTTTATAAGCACTTTATTTTTGTATATTAATTAAACTTTAATAAATTTAAGTAAGTACTTGTTATAACGACTTTAAGCGATTATTTAAAAATAATTAAGCTTTAATAAAAAGGAAATAAAAAGAAATAAAAAGAAATAAAAAGATATAAAAAAAAACCGCTAGCTAAAACTTAACGCTCGCAAGAATGCTGTTTAAAAAGAATTAAGCGTAAGCAAAAACTTTTTTAAAAATAAACTAACTTAATAAAATATATTTAAATCATAAAATGATATTATACAATATTAAAGTATATAAGACGTTGATATATAAGTTCAAATTAATAATTTAATAGCAAATTCGCTAAAATTTAAACATGTCTTCTTAAGCTATTAATTCGTTTTTATCTTAAATTACTTTAATTACTTACGAAAATACCGATCTATTTCAAAGTTAAAAGTTCGAAAGCTTTATAACTTGTTTCTTTAGCTTAATACTATTAGCATCTATTAAATGTTTTAATTAATATTATATTTAGAACGTTAAAAAGATTAAGACTTTTAATACTTAGTAATTATAGACTTTATAATATTTTTAATAATAAAAAGCTAATTAAAATCCTTTGCGAATCGATTAAAATAAAAAGAAACCTTCTTTTATATAGATTAGATTCGTTTAAGCAGCTAAGAAATCAATAAAAGAGCTTGTAATATGCTATAAAAAGTACGACCGGGCTTTAAAGCATTCGAAGCTAAAGGCTTTTAAAACGAAAGCATTAGCTGATTATTAGAAAACGGACGTTTGCAAACGCGTCGTAAGTAAGCCAAAACAAAAGCTTCGGCAAACTCAATTAAAATCTAAATCTTTTTGACGCAATTTAATACGTTTGTTTTTATTTATAAATTCGGTTAATAAATTTAATAAATCTAATTAATAAATCTAATTAATAAATCTGATTAATAAATTTAATTAATAAATTTAATTAATAAATCTAATTAATAAATCTAATTAGTAAATCTAATTAATAAATCTAATTAATAAATCTAATTAGTAAATCTAATTAATAAATCTAATTAATAAATCTGATTAATAAATAATAAAACTAATATCAAATAAATATATTTATTACGAAAAACGTTTTCGCATTAAAACTTAAAATCAATATTTCGAAAAAGTATTTTAAATATTATATTATTAACGCGAAACTCGTTTCGAATAGTTAATAACCCGGATTAAAAATCTTTTTACGAATTACAAAACTTATATTTTAAGCTCTTTAATACTTTAATTATTAAGCGAAACCTCGACGATAAGATTCTAGAAATTAATCGCTATTTATTAAACAATTTACTAGCTAATTAAAAACTTAGCATTTCATTAAACTATTAATCTAATATTAAGCGCTATTTTTTTATATGCATAATCGGAACTGCAATTATAAAAGATTAATATATAATTCAGCTTATGCTAAGATTTATATACGTTAAGTTCAATTATATAAGAAAGGAATTAATAAAAATTATTTACGAACGCTTTATTAAATTAAGCTTAATAGAAAAGATAATCGCGATTATAACGGATAACGCATCTTTGAATCATATAATAATAAAAGAGTTGCTTAAATGCGTCGAAAATGCGTTTAAGAAAAAGCTTTTTGTAAGCTAAAAGATTTTATACGTTTCGTATATAGCTTACGTTTTGCAATTATCTTTTAAAGCGTTGCTCGGATCGCGATTATCGCTAACGAACGAAAGCTTAAAAAAGCATTAAAAAGAAGATTTTAATATAAACGAGCTAAAAAAATCAAGAAGACGCGATAAACGAAAGATTGTATATATACTTGCGATTATAAGTTTTTTTTTAAAAAAAAAT